TACTCCCTGTGTGCCTTGAAGGAGATATCGCTTTGGCACTTTCTTCGGACACGTTTTTTTTTTGCTTTGTTTTGTTATTGTTTTACGATCTGTGTTGTCGTGGCGCAAAAGAGACATGAGAGGAGACACGAGGCAGCGAAGGTGGTGGAATAAATGAGAAACAAAAAACGACGTAGTGCATCCCCGCAAGCTCCAGGCATGTCGGCAGCGCTCGGAAAGCCAGCGGTGGAACTGACGACACACACACACACACAGGGCGATACCGCTGTGCTCTGAACGCACACGCACACACACACATTGAGTTTGCGTTGTCCTTTCAAGTTTTCTCGTCCCCTTCTCTACGGTACCGGAGGCGGAAAGCATCACCTCAACGCCCTCGATACTGTACCGGCGCGTGGGCAGTACGCCGCGGCAACAAATAATAGCAGTAATAATAATCCAGAAGGCGCTTTGATGTGAAGCTGCGTGAACGCACTCAACGGACGGTCCCACCGCCGATACGTCAACCCGTGGCGGCGCGACAGACAACCAACCACGGGAAATACAGAAAAAACACAAGGCAGCAACGAAGGGCAGGTGCTGCAGGGCACTGTAGGAGGCCCCAGGCAGCCTACGTTCCGGCCGATATCCGGGCGAAGGAGCCGTCTGCGTCAACTCGAAACACGATCCACGGGGCCCCCACGCAGTGTTTCTGCTCCTCCCCCGAGAACGAAATATCGCGTTGACAAAAGTAAATCACCTCGGCGTACGGCGGCGCCCCCTCTGCTGCTGCCGCGCCCGTCACCGCCACCCGCTCTACCAACACCATCGACTGCACCCGGGTGCCGTAACCGCCCAGTGGTGTCTTGAGAACGCTGGCCTGCAGATGCATCTCCAACAGCGCAGCGCCACCGTCACTGAGGTGCAGGGGCGCTGAGGGCGATGACGAGGTCGATGCAGCGGATTGATCGCGGCCGAAGAACTCTTGCATCTCCACTGCGCTGAAACCCAACAGTGGATTGGTCGAGTGAATCGTGGTGTTGAGGGCCGCCGCTGCTGCTGCGGCCGCAGGTGCATCTGCTGTCTCTCCGTTTTTCATCATCTGCGCTATATCGAAATGATGGCGGTCGCACAGGCACGCGTCCGCCAGCTTCGTGGCCACGTCCGTCACCGAGTACGCAGCCGCCGCGCTCTCCGACAGCGGCATCACCACCTCTTGAAGCGCCGACTCGAAGCGCTCGCGCAGACGTGCGCTGATGGGCTCCCCGAGCGTGTTGTCCAGGAAGCTGTTTTGTAGGACGTGCACCTCGCCCGGTGTCACAGGGCACCTGTACTGTGCGCCGTAACGGTTGGTGGTGTACGCAACAGCCGGGGAAGACGGCGAGGATGACGAGGTCGCAGACACCGTGCGCAACGTGTCGGAGGTGAGGAGGTTGTAGCCGGCATAAAACGGCGGCGTCAACGGGCTATGTGGTGGACAAGGAAAGGAGTCGCCTGCTGTTTCACGCGGGAGTTCACCGTCCAGCAGAAAGTCCTTCACGATGGTGCCGCGCGAGGAGGGTGGGTCGTACGATAAGGTCTTCGCGTCGGGCCGCGCCGGATCGCGCAGCTCGGGACGTACCGGGACCACCGTTGTGTAGTCGCGTATGTGGGAGAGCGGTGCGGCGCCGCGCCAGTCCCCCGTCACTTGATGTGACCTCTGCGGCGTTTCTTTGGTCGCACCCTTGTCTGAGGTGCGTGCCGGGGCAGCCGCGTCGCTGATGCTGGTGTCGTCGCTGCCGCGCGTAAGCGGGGCCGCCGCGGCACGACGGCAGTTGGTCAAGATGGCGAAGCGACCGCTGCGTGGCTCGATGCCCATCCACGACCCGCCGGCCAGCTGATCGATGGCCCATATCAAGCCGGTGCGAACGTCGTAGCGGAGGTGGCGGGTACCACGCCCGAGCTGCTCGTCGCGGTTACCGATCAAAATAAAGGGGAAGCGCTCGCAGAAGCGCGACGCGAAGACGAGGATACACATAGGGCCTAAAGCAGCAAACGTGAGCACAAAAAATATGAAACACACCGTAGTAATTGTATGAATACAGAGAGCGATGACAGTCTTCAATGCGAGAATGAATAGATGGGTGTGAAGGTAGCGAACACATCACCGGGTATTCCGGTCACGGCAACGCTTGGACCTTCCTCAACAGCGCAGGGGTGAACGCGGTGCCACACAGCAATGCACAGCGTCAGCGCGGTTCGAACAACAACAACAACAAAGAGGGCGAGGAACAGGAGAGGGAGTGAAGCAAAAGAACGCTAACCAAGTAAAGCGGTGACAGAGCCGCCGCCGAGGTAACGCAGCAAACAACAACCCTAACAGCAAGAGATACGCCCCGCCCACAAGAGCCGTCGCGTGCTGCACTTCGCAGGGCCTGCGATGGCTGCGCACAGCAGGAGCCCCACTCGCGCTTGTACCGCGACGGAACACGCGTGCACCCCGCCTTCCAGGAAAGAAAAGAAAAACAACGAGACGAGCTGGAAAACAACAAAGTAAGAAAAAAAAAGGTCGTGCGTGTGAGTTCACTTCTCACGTTTGGGGTCTGGGTTGACCGTTGTGATGTGCGTGCCCCCCGAAAAAGATTCTGTGGAACGTGAAGGAACACAATCGCAAACACCAGCGAGAGGAGGAGAGAGGAAGGGGGAGGGGGGACCACAGCAGCGACAGGCACACTAACCGGAGCCCCCCCCCCCTGTCGTGTCTTTTTCGTGGGCTCCTCTCGCCCTCTTCACAGACGAAGAAATCCAGAGAAGAAAAAGGCGGCAGCTGATATCCACCACGCCGCTGCGTACACCCTCAAAAAGGTCTTCCTGCCATTGTCGCGCAACAGCGTACGATACGCGAGAGGTTTCACAACAGCCTTGGCGGCGCAGACGGCGAAGGCACCACCTTGAGGTACTGCGGGAACATCGGCGGTTCCTTGTCCCACCCCACTTGGGCTCGCAGCGCCGTGTACGTGTAACTGTACTCGGGGTTGCAGTAGACGAAGTACAGCAGAAACCCCACCACCGCAGCTCCGCGGAAGTACCCGTGATAGCGAAAGCGCGCCTCTCCTGGCGACATAGGGCGCGAAGGGGACAGGAGGTAGGACAGCCGCGTCGTGCGCTCCATCTCCTCCGTTTTGATGAAGTGCCGGCTCATGTCTGTTCGTCTACGGTGAGAGAAAGGATCAGAGAGAGAGAGAGAGGAAGAGGAGGAGGAGAAAACAAAAACCTTCGCGAGGTAGAGACGCGGGCGAGAGGATCTATAGCATTTGCTAACGACCGCACAGCAAGCTGCGTTCTTCACCCACCCACCCACCTGAGGAAGAACCCGTTGAGGTCGAATCACACCGAACAACGTTAGGGAGAGAGAGAGAGGTGCGGGAGGGGAGGGAGTGAGAGGGAGACGTGGATTCACGGGGCCACAGGGTCTGTCTGTGTGTGTGTGGATGGGTGGAGACGTGGTGGCCCGGCACAGGCGCCGGCCGGGCGTCGCGCACACAGCGGGTGCCCACTGCGGCGCCGCACGTTTGCGCATCGCAGTCACCGGCGGGTGGCGTGCCTGCGTGCGTGGCTGCTATCGGATCGTCGGTTGTTCGCTTCTTCCATGGACCACACTGGCGTGTGTGAGGCAGGACGCCCTATGGTCTTCACCGGGACGTGGTAGAGCATGAGTGCGCTGTCGCAACGCGCGCGTACTTAACACGCGGCGGTGCACACAAGTAATGAAAAGAAAGAAAGAGAGGGGAAAAGCTGTGCACATGAGGGGTAACAAAAGGAACAGCGACAAAGAAGAACGGAAGTATGACGGAGCTGCAGTACACGCATCCAACTCGGCATGGTACCGCAGCCGCGTTCGCGACGGGCTGCGATGAGCGCGCCGAGGTGGTGCTCGGGATGCAGTCGGCGGCGTGTGAAGCCGCACAGCGAATGAAAAAATAAGAAGCGCCTCAGCGCACCTTCGCCTACGTGCGGCGTGATCAGTCGATCATGGGTACACGACTGGTGAGGCAGTCCGGCAGGCACCCATGGCGGCCTCGGCGGTGTAGGTGACGTACAGCATGCCGTCGTCCGCCTGCTTGCACGCGTCGTGCAGCTCGCCAAGCGTCGTCGTCGGCGCAACGGCGCACTGCGCCACCGCAAGCGACACCGCCTTCCTCGCGTCGACGCCGTCGAGGCGGCGCACCGCGCTCGTCAGCTGCGCAACCGTCGCGTCGCGCGGCAGCACGCTGAAGTGCGCCTTGCCGCCCTGCGCGCTCTCCACCACAACGGGCACGTCGCAGCTCCCGGCGTTCAGGCTCGCGCGCTTCGCGATGCGCTCCTCCACGCGGGTCGACGACACGTAGGCGGACATGGCGGTATGGGGGAGGGTCGGGTAGGGTAGGGGTGGTGCTTGTGAGGCGAAACGGATGGCGGAGTGAGTGGGCTTGAGGGCGTGGGGCGAGGCTCTGTGTGGTTGTGTGTTAGCTGTGCAGGGGGGCGGGGCGGCGTCAGCAGCGGCCACGCAGACAAGAAGAGGAAGAGGGGGATGGAGGAAGAGGGAGGAGGGGGCGGAGCGAAGATCACAACAATGTGTTAATGCAGTGGAGCGCACCGCTAACAGTGCGGGGAGCCGTGGCCTATTCAGGTGCAGTCGGAAAAAAGAAGAAAAAGGAGAAAGGGATGCTGGCAGCCACCGGTGTCCTTCACCATCACGTGGAGGACACGACATGTCGCACTCACTGCGGTAAGCACACGCATTCCCCAGAGACACTCCCGGTGCTCGACGCGCACCGTGGCACGCGCAAGCACGGGTGCCCGACACCACGGAGGCGATCGTTCGGTTAGGCGCTTTTACCACTTGAAATATGCACAACAGTGAGAAGAGAGTAAAGAGCCAGAGCTCTGTCGACAAATGCGGAGCCAGAGTACACGCACCGGCGTGGTACATCAGCTGCAGCATCAGAGGACAGGCAAACGCATGGGCAGCAACGCGGAGCGCGTAATTAATCCAGAAGTTCACATCGCGTGCACCGTGCAAACGACACCGCGCAGCACCACAGGTGGTGTGTCCTTCCTCTGATGCCTCTTCACGACTTGAACGAATGACCCGGTGCGCATCTGCAGAGCGCAGTAACAGGACGACGCAGCAAAGCGCACAGTGGGAATAACGAAAAAAAAAAACAAGAGGCCTTCACGTATGCGAAAATAAGATCGATATGCACATGGTCACAGAATAGGAGAGAGCACGGAAAAGGAAACGACGCAGAAAGAGAAAAGAGATAAAGCAACGCGCACACCTCTGCGGCTGCGGCTGGTGAGTTGGCGTGGCAGAGCGAAGCACGCGAACGTGTGAAAGGAAGGGCATCACAGCGGAGCGAGTCCGCACCTTCCGCCAGGCGCGTCGTCCATGCGGAAGCACGGAGAAGCGACGCCGTCGATCAAAACAGACGACGGGCAGGTGCACCGCTCCGGTGGCAGGCGGTGACGCCGCCGTGGGAGCGTCCGACCGGCACCGCACCTCTCGAGCCAGCGCGCAGCAAAGAAGAGCCACTGCCCTTTCAGTGACACCTGCGGAGGGTGCTCGTCAGGCAGGCACACAACCCCGCACGCGTCAACGCGCTTCGTTGTTCCTTTTGTTACCCCTCATGTGCACAGCTTTTCCCCTCTCTTTCTTTCTTTTCATTACTTGTGTGCCCCGCCGCGTGTTAAGTACGCAAAGAAGAACGGAAGTATGACGGAGCTGCAGTACACGCATCCAACTCGGCATGGTACCGCAGCCGCGTTCGCGACGGGCTGCGATGAGCGCGCCGAGGTGGTGCTCGGGATGCAGTCGGCGGCGTGTGAAGCCGCACAGCGAATGAAAAAATAAGAAGCGCCTCAGCGCACCTTCGCCTACGTGCGGCGTGATCAGTCGATCATGGGTACACGACTGGTGAGGCAGTCCGGCAGGCACCCATGGCGGCCTCGGCGGTGTAGGTGACGTACAGCATGCCGTCGTCCGCCTGCTTGCACGCGTCGTGCAGCTCGCCAAGCGTCGTCGTCGGCGCAACGGCGCACTGCGCCACCGCAAGCGACACCGCCTTCCTCGCGTCGACGCCGTCGAGGCGGCGCACCGCGCTCGTCAGCTGCGCAACCGTCGCGTCGCGCGGCAGCACGCTGAAGTGCGCCTTGCCGCCCTGCGCGCTCTCCACCACAACGGGCACGTCGCAGCTCCCGGCGTTCAGGCTCGCGCGCTTCGCGATGCGCTCCTCCACGCGGGTCGACGACACGTAGGCGGACATGGCGGTATGGGGGAGGGTCGGGTAGGGTAGGGGTGGTGCTTGTGAGGCGAAACGGATGGCGGAGTGAGTGGGCTTGAGGGCGTGGGGCGAGGCTCTGTGTGGTTGTGTGTTAGCTGTGCAGGGGGGCGGGGCGGCGTCAGCAGCGGCCACGCAGACAAGAAGAGGAAGAGGGGGATGGAGGAAGAGGGAGGAGGGGGCGGAGCGAAGATCACAACAATGTGTTAATGCAGTGGAGCGCACCGCTAACAGTGCGGGGAGCCGTGGCCTATTCAGGTGCAGTCGGAAAAAAGAAGAAAAAGGAGAAAGGGATGCTGGCAGCCACCGGTGTCCTTCACCATCACGTGGAGGACACGACATGTCGCACTCACTGCGGTAAGCACACGCATTCCCCAGAGACACTCCCGGTGCTCGACGCGCACCGTGGCACGCGCAAGCACGGGTGCCCGACACCACGGAGGCGATCGTTCGGTTAGGCGCTTTTACCACTTGAAATATGCACAACAGTGAGAAGAGAGTAAAGAGCCAGAGCTCTGTCGACAAATGCGGAGCCAGAGTACACGCACCGGCGTGGTACATCAGCTGCAGCATCAGAGGACAGGCAAACGCATGGGCAGCAACGCGGAGCGCGTAATTAATCCAGAAGTTCACATCGCGTGCACCGTGCAAACGACACCGCGCAGCACCACAGGTGGTGTGTCCTTCCTCTGATGCCTCTTCACGACTTGAACGAATGACCCGGTGCGCATCTGCAGAGCGCAGTAACAGGACGACGCAGCAAAGCGCACAGTGGGAATAACGAAAAAAAAAAACAAGAGGCCTTCACGTATGCGAAAATAAGATCGATATGCACATGGTCACAGAATAGGAGAGAGCACGGAAAAGGAAACGACGCAGAAAGAGAAAAGAGATAAAGCAACGCGCACACCTCTGCGGCTGCGGCTGGTGAGTTGGCGTGGCAGAGCGAAGCACGCGAACGTGTGAAAGGAAGGGCATCACAGCGGAGCGAGTCCGCACCTTCCGCCAGGCGCGTCGTCCATGCGGAAGCACGGAGAAGCGACGCCGTCGATCAAAACAGACGACGGGCAGGTGCACCGCTCCGGTGGCAGGCGGTGACGCCGCCGTGGGAGCGTCCGACCGGCACCGCACCTCTCGAGCCAGCGCGCAGCAAAGAAGAGCCACTGCCCTTTCAGTGACACCTGCGGAGGGTGCTCGTCAGGCAGGCACACAACCCCGCACGCGTCAACGCGCTTCGTTGTTCCTTTTGTTACCCCTCATGTGCACAGCTTTTCCCCTCTCTTTCTTTCTTTTCATTACTTGTGTGCCCCGCCGCGTGTTAAGTACGCAAAGAAGAACGGAAGTATGACGGAGCTGCAGTACACGCATCCAACTCGGCATGGTACCGCAGCCGCGTTCGCGACGGGCTGCGATGAGCGCGCCGAGGTGGTGCTCGGGATGCAGTCGGCGGCGTGTGAAGCCGCACAGCGAATGAAAAAATAAGAAGCGCCTCAGCGCACCTTCGCCTACGTGCGGCGTGATCAGTCGATCATGGGTACACGACTGGTGAGGCAGTCCGGCAGGCACCCATGGCGGCCTCGGCGGTGTAGGTGACGTACAGCATGCCGTCGTCCGCCTGCTTGCACGCGTCGTGCAGCTCGCCAAGCGTCGTCGTCGGCGCAACGGCGCACTGCGCCACCGCAAGCGACACCGCCTTCCTCGCGTCGACGCCGTCGAGGCGGCGCACCGCGCTCGTCAGCTGCGCAACCGTCGCGTCGCGCGGCAGCACGCTGAAGTGCGCCTTGCCGCCCTGCGCGCTCTCCACCACAACGGGCACGTCGCAGCTCCCGGCGTTCAGGCTCGCGCGCTTCGCGATGCGCTCCTCCACGCGGGTCGACGACACGTAGGCGGACATGGCGGTATGGGGGAGGGTCGGGTAGGGTAGGGGTGGTGCTTGTGAGGCGAAACGGATGGCGGAGTGAGTGGGCTTGAGGGCGTGGGGCGAGGCTCTGTGTGGTTGTGTGTTAGCTGTGCAGGGGGGCGGGGCGGCGTCAGCAGCGGCCACGCAGACAAGAAGAGGAAGAGGGGGATGGAGGAAGAGGGAGGAGGGGGCGGAGCGAAGATCACAACAATGTGTTAATGCAGTGGAGCGCACCGCTAACAGTGCGGGGAGCCGTGGCCTATTCAGGTGCAGTCGGAAAAAAGAAGAAAAAGGAGAAAGGGATGCTGGCAGCCACCGGTGTCCTTCACCATCACGTGGAGGACACGACATGTCGCACTCACTGCGGTAAGCACACGCATTCCCCAGAGACACTCCCGGTGCTCGACGCGCACCGTGGCACGCGCAAGCACGGGTGCCCGACACCACGGAGGCGATCGTTCGGTTAGGCGCTTTTACCACTTGAAATATGCACAACAGTGAGAAGAGAGTAAAGAGCCAGAGCTCTGTCGACAAATGCGGAGCCAGAGTACACGCACCGGCGTGGTACATCAGCTGCAGCATCAGAGGACAGGCAAACGCATGGGCAGCAACGCGGAGCGCGTAATTAATCCAGAAGTTCACATCGCGTGCACCGTGCAAACGACACCGCGCAGCACCACAGGTGGTGTGTCCTTCCTCTGATGCCTCTTCACGACTTGAACGAATGACCCGGTGCGCATCTGCAGAGCGCAGTAACAGGACGACGCAGCAAAGCGCACAGTGGGAATAACGAAAAAAAAAAACAAGAGGCCTTCACGTATGCGAAAATAAGATCGATATGCACATGGTCACAGAATAGGAGAGAGCACGGAAAAGGAAACGACGCAGAAAGAGAAAAGAGATAAAGCAACGCGCACACCTCTGCGGCTGCGGCTGGTGAGTTGGCGTGGCAGAGCGAAGCACGCGAACGTGTGAAAGGAAGGGCATCACAGCGGAGCGAGTCCGCACCTTCCGCCAGGCGCGTCGTCCATGCGGAAGCACGGAGAAGCGACGCCGTCGATCAAAACAGACGACGGGCAGGTGCACCGCTCCGGTGGCAGGCGGTGACGCCGCCGTGGGAGCGTCCGACCGGCACCGCACCTCTCGAGCCAGCGCGCAGCAAAGAAGAGCCACTGCCCTTTCAGTGACACCTGCGGAGGGTGCTCGTCAGGCAGGCACACAACCCCGCACGCGTCAACGCGCTTCGTTGTTCCTTTTGTTACCCCTCATGTGCACAGCTTTTCCCCTCTCTTTCTTTCTTTTCATTACTTGTGTGCCCCGCCGCGTGTTAAGTACGCAAAGAAGAACGGAAGTATGACGGAGCTGCAGTACACGCATCCAACTCGGCATGGTACCGCAGCCGCGTTCGCGACGGGCTGCGATGAGCGCGCCGAGGTGGTGCTCGGGATGCAGTCGGCGGCGTGTGAAGCCGCACAGCGAATGAAAAAATAAGAAGCGCCTCAGCGCACCTTCGCCTACGTGCGGCGTGATCAGTCGATCATGGGTACACGACTGGTGAGGCAGTCCGGCAGGCACCCATGGCGGCCTCGGCGGTGTAGGTGACGTACAGCATGCCGTCGTCCGCCTGCTTGCACGCGTCGTGCAGCTCGCCAAGCGTCGTCGTCGGCGCAACGGCGCACTGCGCCACCGCAAGCGACACCGCCTTCCTCGCGTCGACGCCGTCGAGGCGGCGCACCGCGCTCGTCAGCTGCGCAACCGTCGCGTCGCGCGGCAGCACGCTGAAGTGCGCCTTGCCGCCCTGCGCGCTCTCCACCACAACGGGCACGTCGCAGCTCCCGGCGTTCAGGCTCGCGCGCTTCGCGATGCGCTCCTCCACGCGGGTCGACGACACGTAGGCGGACATGGCGGTATGGGGGAGGGTCGGGTAGGGTAGGGGTGGTGCTTGTGAGGCGAAACGGATGGCGGAGTGAGTGGGCTTGAGGGCGTGGGGCGAGGCTCTGTGTGGTTGTGTGTTAGCTGTGCAGGGGGGCGGGGCGGCGTCAGCAGCGGCCACGCAGACAAGAAGAGGAAGAGGGGGATGGAGGAAGAGGGAGGAGGGGGCGGAGCGAAGATCACAACAATGTGTTAATGCAGTGGAGCGCACCGCTAACAGTGCGGGGAGCCGTGGCCTATTCAGGTGCAGTCGGAAAAAAGAAGAAAAAGGAGAAAGGGATGCTGGCAGCCACCGGTGTCCTTCACCATCACGTGGAGGACACGACATGTCGCACTCACTGCGGTAAGCACACGCATTCCCCAGAGACACTCCCGGTGCTCGACGCGCACCGTGGCACGCGCAAGCACGGGTGCCCGACACCACGGAGGCGATCGTTCGGTTAGGCGCTTTTACCACTTGAAATATGCACAACAGTGAGAAGAGAGTAAAGAGCCAGAGCTCTGTCGACAAATGCGGAGCCAGAGTACACGCACCGGCGTGGTACATCAGCTGCAGCATCAGAGGACAGGCAAACGCATGGGCAGCAACGCGGAGCGCGTAATTAATCCAGAAGTTCACATCGCGTGCACCGTGCAAACGACACCGCGCAGCACCACAGGTGGTGTGTCCTTCCTCTGATGCCTCTTCACGACTTGAACGAATGACCCGGTGCGCATCTGCAGAGCGCAGTAACAGGACGACGCAGCAAAGCGCACAGTGGGAATAACGAAAAAAAAAAACAAGAGGCCTTCACGTATGCGAAAATAAGATCGATATGCACATGGTCACAGAATAGGAGAGAGCACGGAAAAGGAAACGACGCAGAAAGAGAAAAGAGATAAAGCAACGCGCACACCTCTGCGGCTGCGGCTGGTGAGTTGGCGTGGCAGAGCGAAGCACGCGAACGTGTGAAAGGAAGGGCATCACAGCGGAGCGAGTCCGCACCTTCCGCCAGGCGCGTCGTCCATGCGGAAGCACGGAGAAGCGACGCCGTCGATCAAAACAGACGACGGGCAGGTGCACCGCTCCGGTGGCAGGCGGTGACGCCGCCGTGGGAGCGTCCGACCGGCACCGCACCTCTCGAGCCAGCGCGCAGCAAAGAAGAGCCACTGCCCTTTCAGTGACACCTGCGGAGGGTGCTCGTCAGGCAGGCACACAACCCCGCACGCGTCAACGCGCTTTGCGACTCGCATTAGCAGTTATTTGCAGCAGTCATGCCGCACACGTTCACGGTGGCACCCATGGCGGCCTCGGCGGTGTAGGTGACGTACAGCATGCCGTCGTCCGCCTGCTTGCACGCGTCGTGCAGCTCGCCAAGCGTCGTCGTCGGCGCAACGGCGCACTGCGCCACCGCAAGCGACACCGCCTTCCTCGCGTCGACGCCGTCGAGGCGGCGCACCGCGCTCGTCAGCTGCGCAACCGTCGCGTCGCGCGGCAGCACGCTGAAGTGCGCCTTGCCGCCCTGCGCGCTCTCCACCACAACGGGCACGTCGCAGCTCCCGGCGTTCAGGCTCGCGCGCTTCGCGATGCGCTCCTCCACGCGGGTCGACGACACGTAGGCGGACATGGCGGTATGGGGGAGGGTCGGGTAGGGTAGGGGTGGTGCTTGTGAGGCGAAACGGATGGCGGAGTGAGTGGGCTTGAGGGCGTGGGGCGAGGCTCTGTGTGGTTGTGTGTTAGCTGTGCAGGGGGGCGGGGCGGCGTCAGCAGCGGCCACGCAGACAAGAAGAGGAAGAGGGGGATGGAGGAAGAGGGAGGAGGGGGCGGAGCGAAGATCACAACAATGTGTTAATGCAGTGGAGCGCACCGCTAACAGTGCGGGGAGCCGTGGCCTATTCAGGTGCAGTCGGAAAAAAGAAGAAAAAGGAGAAAGGGATGCTGGCAGCCACCGGTGTCCTTCACCATCACGTGGAGGACACGACATGTCGCACTCACTGCGGTAAGCACACGCATTCCCCAGAGACACTCCCGGTGCTCGACGCGCACCGTGGCACGCGCAAGCACGGGTGCCCGACACCACGGAGGCGATCGTTCGGTTAGGCGCTTTTACCACTTGAAATATGCACAACAGTGAGAAGAGAGTAAAGAGCCAGAGCTCTGTCGACAAATGCGGAGCCAGAGTACACGCACCGGCGTGGTACATCAGCTGCAGCATCAGAGGACAGGCAAACGCATGGGCAGCAACGCGGAGCGCGTAATTAATCCAGAAGTTCACATCGCGTGCACCGTGCAAACGACACCGCGCAGCACCACAGGTGGTGTGTCCTTCCTCTGATGCCTCTTCACGACTTGAACGAATGACCCGGTGCGCATCTGCAGAGCGCAGTAACAGGACGACGCAGCAAAGCGCACAGTGGGAATAACGAAAAAAAAAAACAAGAGGCCTTCACGTATGCGAAAATAAGATCGATATGCACATGGTCACAGAATAGGAGAGAGCACGGAAAAGGAAACGACGCAGAAAGAGAAAAGAGATAAAGCAACGCGCACACCTCTGCGGCTGCGGCTGGTGAGTTGGCGTGGCAGAGCGAAGCACGCGAACGTGTGAAAGGAAGGGCATCACAGCGGAGCGAGTCCGCACCTTCCGCCAGGCGCGTCGTCCATGCGGAAGCACGGAGAAGCGACGCCGTCGATCAAAACAGACGACGGGCAGGTGCACCGCTCCGGTGGCAGGCGGTGACGCCGCCGTGGGAGCGTCCGACCGGCACCGCACCTCTCGAGCCAGCGCGCAGCAAAGAAGAGCCACTGCCCTTTCAGTGACACCTGCGGAGGGTGCTCGTCAGGCAGGCACACAACCCCGCACGCGTCAACGCGCTTTGCGACTCGCATTAGCAGTTATTTGCAGCAGTCATGCCGCACACGTTCACGGTGGCACCCATGGCGGCCTCGGCGGTGTAGGTGACGTACAGCATGCCGTCGTCCGCCTGCTTGCACGCGTCGTGCAGCTCGCCAAGCGTCGTCGTCGGCGCAACGGCGCACTGCGCCACCGCAAGCGACACCGCCTTCCTCGCGTCGACGCCGTCGAGGCGGCGCACCGCGCTCGTCAGCTGCGCAACCGTCGCGTCGCGCGGCAGCACGCTGAAGTGCGCCTTGCCGCCCTGCGCGCTCTCCACCACAACGGGCACGTCGCAGCTCCCGGCGTTCAGGCTCGCGCGCTTCGCGATGCGCTCCTCCACGCGGGTCGACGACACGTAGGCGGACATGGCGGTATGGGGGAGGGTCGGGTAGGGTAGGGGTGGTGCTTGTGAGGCGAAACGGATGGCGGAGTGAGTGGGCTTGAGGGCGTGGGGCGAGGCTCTGTGTGGTTGTGTGTTAGCTGTGCAGGGGGGCGGGGCGGCGTCAGCAGCGGCCACGCAGACAAGAAGAGGAAGAGGGGGATGGAGGAAGAGGGAGGAGGGGGCGGAGCGAAGATCACAACAATGTGTTAATGCAGTGGAGCGCACCGCTAACAGTGCGGGGAGCCGTGGCCTATTCAGGTGCAGTCGGAAAAAAGAAGAAAAAGGAGAAAGGGATGCTGGCAGCCACCGGTGTCCTTCACCATCACGTGGAGGACACGACATGTCGCACTCACTGCGGTAAGCACACGCATTCCCCAGAGACACTCCCGGTGCTCGACGCGCACCGTGGCACGCGCAAGCACGGGTGCCCGACACCACGGAGGCGATCGTTCGGTTAGGCGCTTTTACCACTTGAAATATGCACAACAGTGAGAAGAGAGTAAAGAGCCAGAGCTCTGTCGACAAATGCGGAGCCAGAGTACACGCACCGGCGTGGTACATCAGCTGCAGCATCAGAGGACAGGCAAACGCATGGGCAGCAACGCGGAGCGCGTAATTAATCCAGAAGTTCACATCGCGTGCACCGTGCAAACGACACCGCGCAGCACCACAGGTGGTGTGTCCTTCCTCTGATGCCTCTTCACGACTTGAACGAATGACCCGGTGCGCATCTGCAGAGCGCAGTAACAGGACGACGCAGCAAAGCGCACAGTGGGAATAACGAAAAAAAAAAACAAGAGGCCTTCACGTATGCGAAAATAAGATCGATATGCACATGGTCACAGAATAGGAGAGAGCACGGAAAAGGAAACGACGCAGAAAGAGAAAAGAGATAAAGCAACGCGCACACCTCTGCGGCTGCGGCTGGTGAGTTGGCGTGGCAGAGCGAAGCACGCGAACGTGTGAAAGGAAGGGCATCACAGCGGAGCGAGTCCGCACCTTCCGCCAGGCGCGTCGTCCATGCGGAAGCACGGAGAAGCGACGCCGTCGATCAAAACAGACGACGGGCAGGTGCACCGCTCCGGTGGCAGGCGGTGACGCCGCCGTGGGAGCGTCCGACCGGCACCGCACCTCTCGAGCCAGCGCGCAGCAAAGAAGAGCCACTGCCCTTTCAGTGACACCTGCGGAGGGTGCTCGTCAGGCAGGCACACAACCCCGCACGCGTCAACGCGCTTTGCGACTCGCATTAGCAGTTATTTGCAGCAGTCATGCCGCACACGTTCACGGTGGCACCCATGGCGGCCTCGGCGGTGTAGGTGACGTACAGCATGCCGTCGTCCGCCTGCTTGCACGCGTCGTGCAGCTCGCCAAGCGTCGTCGTCGGCGCAACGGCGCACTGCGCCACCGCAAGCGACACCGCCTTCCTCGCGTCGACGCCGTCGAGGCGGCGCACCGCGCTCGTCAGCTGCGCAACCGTCGCGTCGCGCGGCAGCACGCTGAAGTGCGCCTTGCCGCCCTGCGCGCTCTCCACCACAACGGGCACGTCGCAGCTCCCGGCGTTCAGGCTCGCGCGCTTCGCGATGCGCTCCTCCACGCGGGTCGACGACACGTAGGCGGACATGGCGGTATGGGGGAGGGTCGGGTAGGGTAGGGGGGTCAGAGAAAGAGAGCTTGTAAGTGCGTTCGTGACTCGTTGGAGGTAGAGAGCGGTTTTTTGACGAGACAAAACTTCAGAAGAACGGCTGCAGTAGGCGAGCTGAGTGAAGCTGCCGCCGTACGCGGACGATGAAGGAGGAAGGGAGAGAGGGGGAGAGGGGGAGAGGGGAGAGAAGTATGAGGGCATCTGCCGCATAGAGGGAGCAGCGAGGCTCAGCACCGGAGAGCCTCTGGACGCAGCAGCACTGGCATAACGTCGTCCGTGCCTCAGCTGCGTTGCGCACTCAAAGCCTGCCTCTGCAAATCCAGTGGACCGGCGAGACGAAAAGTGGCGACGGCAAATTGGGTGGACGTCCCACGGGGAATTGCCGGCGTTCGAAGAGTGCCGTCGCGCAGCAGGAGGCCACCTATCGCAGTCGCGGTTTTGAAAGAAGCGATAAATAAACGATTATACACATGAGCTGAAAGAAAGCTGGAGAGGAACAAAAAAAAATAGTTAAAGAATGCGAGAGTGTGTTGCTGCTTTGTCCACGCAGCTACCCGTGTTTGGGCAATACGTGTGCAGATGTGAAACGACGCCGGACGTGCGGTTGTCGGGGAAAGAGGGATTGGTCACTGCAGGTGCGCAGCGGCAGGGGCAAACACGCCCGCACGTCCACTGCCAACACGGACCGAGTGAACAGAGAAGCAAATCACCTTCTCCGCGAAGAGAGCACTAAAAAGCGATCCTATATGATAAAAGCGTTTTCGTGCTGAAAGGCAAGAAAAGTAAAATAGCGAATGGGAGGGAGGCGGCAGCGATGCGGGCCAGCAGGGCCGCCGCTCTCTCGACCTTCGCAGCAGCCACGGCCAGCCGCACTCACGCGGCTGTCGCGTCTTGCCCATCTCGACCATCACCTCGGTGTGTGCGTGGTCAGTCAAAATAAACACATGGACCAGAGCGCACGCAGGGAGGTAAGAGGGAAGAGGGAGAGAGAGGTCAAAGGTCAGCACACAGCTGCGACAGGCGAACTGCAAATGCGGGTGCAGCGCCCTAACGTTGGAATGTGTCCTACGGCACGGAGGGAACCCTGCTCGCGTGCGTCTCGTCGCTTAGTTCCAGGTGGCGCCAAAGCACGGCGTCCACACGGCACCGCCCATGTTCTGCCTCGGCGGTGTAGGTGACGTACAGCATGCCGTCGTCCGCCTGCTTGCACGCGTCGTGCAGCTCGCCAAGCGTCGTCGTCGGCGCAACGGCGCACTGCGCCACCGCAAGCGACACCGCCTTCCTCGCGTCGACGCCGTCGAGGCGGCGCACCGCGCTCGTCAGCTGCGCAACCGTCGCGTCGCGCGGCAGCACGCTGAAGTGCGCCTTGCCGCCCTGCGCGCTCTCCACCACAACGGGCACGTCGCAGCTCCCGGCGTTCAGGCTCGCGCGCTTCGCGATGCGCTCCTCCACGCGGGTCGACGACACGTAGGCGGACATGGCGGTATGGGGGAGGGTCGGGTAGGGTAGGGGGGTCAGAGAAAGAGAGCTTGTAAGTGCGTTCGTGACTCGTTGGAGGTAGAGAGCGGTTTTTTGACGAGACAAAACTTCAGAAGAACGGCTGCAGTAGGCGAGCTGAGTGAAGCTGCCGCCGTACGCGGACGATGAAGGAGGAAGGGAGAGAGGGGGAGAGGGGGAGAGGGGAGAGAAGTATGAGGGCATCTGCCGCATAGAGGGAGCAGCGAGGCTCAGCACCGGAGAGCCTCTGGACGCAGCAGCACTGGCATAACGTCGTCCGTGCCTCAGCTGCGTTGCGCACTCAAAGCCTGCCTCTGCAAATCCAGTGGACCGGCGAGACGAAAAGTGGCGACGGCAAATTGGGTGGACGTCCCACGGGGAATTGCCGGCGTTCGAAGAGTGCCGTCGCGCAGCAGGAGGCCACCTATCGCAGTCGCGGTTTTGAAAGAAGCGATAAATAAACGATTATACACATGAGCTGAAAGAAAGCTGGAGAGGAACAAAAAAAAATAGTTAAAGAATGCGAGAGTGTGTTGCTGCTTTGTCCACGCAGCTACCCGTGTTTGGGCAATACGTGTGCAGATGTGAAACGACGCCGGACGTGCGGTTGTCGGGGAAAGAGGGATTGGTCACTGCAGGTGCGCAGCGGCAGGGGCAAACACGCCCGCACGTCCACTGCCAACACGGACCGAGTGAACAGAGAAGCAAATCACCTTCTCCGCGAAGAGAGCACTAAAAAGCGATCCTATATGATAAAAGCGTTTTCGTGCTGAAAGGCAAGAAAAGTAAAATAGCGAATGGGAGGGAGGCGGCAGCGATGCGGGCCAGCAGGGCCGCCGCTCTCTCGACCTTCGCAGCAGCCACGGCCAGCCGCACTCACGCGGCTGTCGCGTCTTGCCCATCTCGACCATCACCTCGGTGTGTGCGTGGTCAGTCAAAATAAACACATGGACCAGAGCGCACGCAGGGAGGTAAGAGGGAAGAGGGAGAGAGAGGTCAAAGGTCAGCACACAGCTGCGACAGGCGAACTGCAAATGCGGGTGCAGCGCCCTAACGTTGGAATGTGTCCTACGGCACGGAGGGAACCCTGCTCGCGTGCGTCTCGTCGCTTAGTTCCAGGTGGCGCCAAAGCACGGCGTCCACACGGCACCGCCCATGTTCTGCCTCGGCGGTGTAGGTGACGTACAGCATGCCGTCGTCCGCCTGCTTGCACGCGTCGTGCAGCTCGCCAAGCGTCGTCGTCGGCGCAACGGCGCACTGCGCCACCGCAAGCGACACCGCCTTCCTCGCGTCGACGCCGTCGAGGCGGCGCACCGCGCTCGTCAGCTGCGCAACCGTCGCGTCGCGCGGCAGCACGCTGAAGTGCGCCTTGCCGCCCTGCGCGCTCTCCACCACAACGGGCACGTCGCAGCTCCCGGCGTTCAGGCTCGCGCGCTTCGCGATGCGCTCCTCCACGCGGGTCGACGACACGTAGGCGGACATGGCGGTATGGGGGAGGGTCGGGTAGGGTAGGGGGGTCAGAGAAAGAGAGCTTGTAAGTGCGTTCGTGACTCGTTGGAGGTAGAGAGCGGTTTTTTGACGAGACAAAACTTCAGAAGAACGGCTGCAGTAGGCGAGCTGAGTGAAGCTGCCGCCGTACGCGGACGATGAAGGAGGAAGGGAGAGAGGGGGAGAGGGGGAGAGGGGAGAGAAGTATGAGGGCATCTGCCGCATAGAGGGAGCAGCGAGGCTCAGCACCGGAGAGCCTCTGGACGCAGCAGCACTGGCATAACGTCGTCCGTGCCTCAGCTGCGTTGCGCACTCAAAGCCTGCCTCTGCAAATCCAGTGGACCGGCGAGACGAAAAGTGGCGACGGCAAATTGGGTGGACGTCCCACGGGGAATTGCCGGCGTTCGAAGAGTGCCGTCGCGCAGCAGGAGGCCACCTATCGCAGTCGCGGTTTTGAAAGAAGCGATAAATAA